TCTAGTGAATGGCGACGAACAAAGTTGTTCGACGCCCCACAGTCCACTAGGGCACGAAACGACGAATCATTTGTCGCTTCCAACTTCAAGGTGATGAGCGAAACGTCATCACCAGGTGCAGAGACACACAATGATTGTGTATCTGGAGCAACTTTCGTCAAGAGGTTTGCAAATTCTATTGAGGTTGCTGGAACAGTTGGGCGCTCCGCCCCTACTGACCCCGACCATTTTTTGATGGTCCTTCTCGCTGTTGCGGCATCGCAACAGCGCTGGACCCACGTCCATTGTCCTTCTTGGCGAATGGTCGTCCATTTCGCTCAGTACTGTTTGGTACTGGGCGTGGAGCACTACACTCGTATGCGTAGTGCCCTAACTTCTGACAGCGATTGCACCTCTGCAATCGCTTGTTGTTTGAAGAGCGAGGTCTCTCGCTCTCAACATAGTAGAGGTCCATTGGTTCTGGACCTCCGATCTCTTGTCGTCTTAGTGGACGATAAGAGTTTGAGCTAGCATGATCCTGTCTCATGCATAAGTCTTCCTGTTTCGCGGCTGATATCGCATCTTCCAGAGTATTCAGCTAAAGGCGGAATAGGTGGCTCCTGACGGGCCCTTCTGCGAGCCCTTGCATGAACACCGTAATTAACGTGTGTTCATGGACTGGGTTAGCAGTTATACTACTCGCTAAAAGTCGTATATGTTGTGCGTAAGCGTGCACATCACGCTTACCCTGCTTGAGTTTCAGGAGCTCTGAACGAGCCCTGAACTCAGCCCGTGGCGGCTCAAACGTTTGTCTGGGCCGGGACTTGAAGTCATCTAGCGACCTAAACACATTTGGGTCGCTACTCTCGAGCCCCAGGGACCAAGTTTTGGCACGCCCTGCCAAGTGGGTCTGAGCAAATGTGATTTTCGTTTGCTCATCTTCGACACGACGAGCCCTTAAGGCTCTGTCGAGTTCGACAAACCATAGTAACAGGGAGTCCTCCGGGACTCCACTGTACTTGGAGATGTCAACCTTCATGGCTTCGGGACGACGCGCATGTGCCGTCCCGCCCACAGCAGCATGGAATTGCTGCTGCCTCAACAGCTCTGTCTGTTGAGCACCGAGTTCTCTCAACTGCTCGGCCTGTTGAGAGCCTTGCTGGTGAAGCAAGACTACTTTCTCCCTTTCGGCGACAAATTCATTTTGAATGAACCTGGCTATAGAGGCATGTTGTTGGCCTCTGTCTAGAGACTCCAACATGGCGCTAATGGCGAACTCGCCTACGGTAGAACTCATTCGTTCTACCGCACCCCATTCTATGTCACTCAAATGAATAAACCCTTCACGCGTGGCGTGAAAGGTCTCTTCATCATCCAACATGTTCATGTTGGATGTTGTGGTTATTGGAAGGACTACAAAGTGCTACCAGGTGTAACGGGGCACACCCATGCGTGAACTTAACGCAAGGGTATCGTACCCCGACAAGCGTACACGAGGCAAACGAGGAAGCGTAGATGAGGGAAAAGTAAGACTGTTATATAAACATAATTAAGTCTATAACCACTGTCTCTCTGTTTGACTTAACTTAATTATGCTAATCTAACTGAATGTATGACGACGTCTACTCACCACTCATTGCGCGCGTCTTGCGGCGATTGGTGGATAAAGATGGTTGATACAATGGCCTTTGTCAACCAATAAGAGAAGCGGTGCCAAATATCACCGTTAACGGTAATATTCTCTCAGCATTTACCTTACCAAGTATAAATATTGGCGGATATAACGATTGAAGGGAATATTCTCATTGACCCGATGTGGTGTGAATGAGATGTAACGCAATTACACCATTACGACCAGTGGTGAGCAAAACCCGAGTTTTCTTTTCTGGCCGATACGTCGGGTGATCGGCTTTCATATGAAAAACCCGATTTTGTCATGATTTTATTTCAATGGGTCGATACTCTATCAAATGGTCTACGCCGTCGCATTTTCTTCGACGTCGCTCTCCGTGTCACTGCCGTACTTGTCACTGTATGCTTCTGGTGAGTTGTAGGAAATTCCACTGTCCGACTGCTAGGGTTGTAGCTGGACATTGTGGGAATTTGAGGAGCTGAGTTTCTAAGTGAGGAAAGAAGATATCCGTCTAGTGTTCTACGGTCGACGCCGAGGATCCCTTTTTTGACCAACAGAAAAAATGTTTCCAATTTGCTATTGAGTCTCGTAGTAACTAGGGGTGAAGGGAGGTCGCGCAACAAAGGAATATGGTGTTTTCAGGGGTCAAGACTTCCCTCAGCACGACGTGCGAAAAAAGCCATAAAACAAAATTCCCGCCGAACCAAATTAGTCGGGGGGGTTTAAAACCCCGACAAAACCCGATGGAAAAAACCCATGTCATGCCAGCTCGGATTACGACAGGGGTCGTCGCACTAAGGCGCAGCGTTCGGTTGTAGTTACCACTAAATGACCAAGCAACACATTCTTTGCAGCAATCGAAAAGACGATGGCTGATAATGGTGCATATCGATTTGGTAGTGGTCTTTTTGCCATGTCGCCACAGAGGGTTGTACGCGAGACAAACGGTAACAAGGAAGCAAGCTGACACTGTGATGTTATAGTTCCAATGCCGAAGAAGGCAAATTGGACTACGATTTGGCACATCTAATGATCCGCTCAATCAGCTTTGCAACAAAGCGAAATCGAAATGTAGCGAGTCGTCTCGAGTCGGAATTAGTGACCGACATACAAATGATGGAATCTCACGTTGGTACGTTATCAAGGATACTGATTGATGGCAGTACGCATAGTTTGGCAACAGCTTCGAAAACATGGCGAGCATCTCCTCCCTTTGCGACTGACGACATGGTAGCAAAGATATCTAGCTCCTACTTCCACTGGTCAATACAGCAATCGACACTACTCAGAGCCTCCGAAAGTGTAGATACCGTGACAGCGTACAAAAGTATACTTACACATGTTGGCAATTATCGTTCGCCGTATGCTAAATGCGCATTCCAATGTGCAGACAAAACAAACTTCCACTGCTATGATGGGCAAATCATTACGCACATCGAACAAGCGACGCAAACGTAGGTCTATTAATCTTTTTGGCAACATGAGTTTGATACGCGGTCAGGTAATGTACGACTCGATGTGACTCACTATACAACACGATGTGTTTAGAGCTGGTGTAACTGGCGAGTGTGCTGTTTCTACAAGAACACCCTGACGTTTGAGCTCACGTTGTGACAGCAGTACTGTAGTCTCAACGAAATGTTGTATTTCGATTTATACCGCTTGGAGTAATATCTCATGGGCCATATCTTCCTCATCTGCGATTCTAGATTTGATTGGAGATTGAGTATATCAAGAAGTAGTTTGACTCGAGAATATTACCGGCTAGTTTCGACGATGCTGATTCGGTAGGCGTGCATGAGCTGAGCGTATTTATCAATCATTCTATAAAACAAACACAAGAGGATGCCGAAGTAGGGCACTTCCGCTACAATGAGGATGTTGAACAAGATTGTGGAATCATCAAGGACAATTCCCGCAAGGAGTCGAAACCACTTGGCTTTCCTGCACATATGACTTCATCTGCTTTATTTATTAAACGAATGGCGCTTTCTTCCACGCGCACAAGCTTCAGCGAATGCACACGAATTAGGACTCAATGAACCGCTCACAAGCTATCACGGCAGTCGTTTTGCTGTTTGTGGCCATCCACTTGCAGTATCTTACCGGTAAAGTCAGCCGACCCATCTCAAACGCCCGATACGCGTGCTAAATAGTACCTGTCGAAGGCAGAGATCGATTCTTTCATAAATGTCTAGGCCCATTCCCTTTGTCTATGCATTATCCATACAATTCGCGTTAGCCTTCACGCTTGGCATTTGCCAATATCACAAGAGGACACAGTCAAGTCTGGTGGCAGCGACAGTATTGTGCACGTTGCAGCCAACAGGACACTGCTGCTTTGACCATTTTGATCGCATCAAGCGACAAGCCATTCCTTTCCGCAGTGTCAGACGTGTTCGAGTCGACATAGAGAGCCGCGACAAAATTCGCGCAACCCCCACAGTCTATGTCACCTGATCAACGGTAGAGGTCTTGGTCATCGCGGGCTCTCCGGGCGACAATTGCAGAGGTCTGGGCAAATCGACCATCGCAGTTTCATCTCCCAATCTCACGTGTCTCTCCTGGATTCATTAGCATCCAGTGTCGGTCGACTTGCGATCCTTCAGCTCGGGAATAATCAGCTGAATCTCTGCGTGTATAGGAAAGCCACCTATTGTCGTCTTTCCCGCTTGATTATCGGCTTCATCACGAAGCGAGAGTGTTCATGCCGTCAAGGCAAATCCCTCATCGGCCAGACCGTCTGGGAGCACACCGGCTTTGTATTGTTCGCACCTGTTTCGTGACTTGCGAGTCCGGGAGCTCGTCGATGCTATACCCGACTCGCACGCGGGTGCGTCCAGCACGTCTGTCAACCATAGGACTTGCAGTACCACTTGTTCTGACACGCTGAATGCCGACGTAAAGCTCACGGTCGCATCTGATCAGATGACATTCATGATGACTTGGGCACGATTGTAACAGACGCGTTTCTTAACTGTCCACGACGAAGAGAAGTGAGAGAAAAACATCAGGCTCTGCGAAGAAAAGAGGGTCAAGTCAAGTGGCTACGCACGTACGCACGATCCTCCTCGAGTCCATCGCGGTCCACATCGACGCAATCGCACCACTGGATCCAATAAGTATCGTCATCTCCCCCCCTGTGTCTGCTGTCCAGTTAGTCCCTTTTCGCTGCACGAGGGCGGCCGGACGATTCAGTGCGCCCGTCTGGTCTCTTGTCCTTTTTTGTCCGACGGCGGCTGATCCCTGGGACAAGCAGACGCCAATAGCTCCTGACTGGCGCAGGCGCTCGGCACGCAGGAAAAGGCCACTCGTGAATTCCACGACCCGCGACGCCATAGTAACGCTGCGACGCGACGCGGTCGCTGCTGCCGTTTGTCGAACGTCAATGGATCGCGCGCCACTCGTTGCCAGTGCCAAAGTCGGCGCCTCGTCGGGACTCAAAGCCGAGAGCAGCAGCAGCAGTCCCAATCGCCTCACGTATGTGTCGCTCCCCCTGCGTGTCGCGCGTGATGCCACGCGGGACAAGACGATCTTTCGCTGCACGTTTCCAGGCTGTGGGCGCGAGTTTCAGCTCAAGGGGAACCTCAAGCGGCACCTGAACATCCACAAAGGCGACAAGAAGTTCGCCTGCAAGTTCTGCGCCAAGCGGTTCTTGCGCAAAGCCGACATGGAAGTGCACTATCGCGTGCACACGGGCGAGAAGCCCTATCGCTGCAAATATCAAGAGTGCGGCAAGTGCTTTGCCCGGCGGTCGGACCTCCTGAGTCACGAGCGCACGCACACGTACGTCCTCCAGTCACGAGCACACTGTCCTCTTCTTTATCGTCGTTGTCGTCTTGAGTTCCTGTTCGTCTCTCGTGTGCTGTCGGTATCTATTCGTCGCGATGAACTCATAGCTGACAGTGGCTTCTCTGTGTCTTCGTCTGTAGAGGCAGAAAGCCCTATGCCTGCGCGTTCCCTGGCTGTGACCGCAGCTTTGCCCGCAAGTTCGACCTCCACAAGCACCAGCGGCTCCACGAAGACCAAACCGACATTGGCAAAGTCAGGACCAAGAAGCGCAAACTCTCGCCGTGTCAAGCGGATCTAGCGACCCGTGCAGCGAGTTGCGACTGTCCGAACGACGTTGCGACGCCGTTTGTAGGCGGTGCAACGTCCACGAGCGCAGCGCTGTCAGCCGATGTGCTGGTAACACCTGCAGCAGCGTCAGCGTCAGCCGCGATGAAGACGTCCGTGTCGATCCCTGGCAAATTTGCTGCTGGTCGTCGCAAGAGCGCCGCGACGGCTGCGTGCTCAAACACTCCGACGAGGCCGAAGCGCTACGAGCTCACGTGCCCCGAGAACCACATCCACTCGCCACCCGCGTGTCTCGCAGCGCTGTCGTCGCTGGACGCCTTCTTGTTGTCGCAGGAGACGCTAGACCTGTCGCGGCCGTACTCGCTCGACGCGTTCTCGTCGCACTGTCCGTCGACGACGATCGGCACCAGTTGCTGTCCCGCGCATCTCGAGCTGAGACCTCCTCGACCCGAAGAAGGCACTCGAGTCTTTGCTGGGTCCAAAATGCTCAGTGCATCGCCGGCCGTGGAGTCGCTCTTTACCACTCCGTTCATGCCGGGGCCAGCAATGCCAGCGAGCGACGCACCTCCTGCTGCCGTGCAGTCGAATGCGACGGACGGAATCGCGTACACGAACGCTTCGCTGACTGCACTGCCGCTGTGTCGACCGCTGGACACCTCGACGGTGGACCAGACAGACTCAAAGTCGAAATTGGCTCTACTTGTGCCAAACACCGCCGGCGACGATTCGATCCTCGACCCGAACAAACTGCTGTCCAGCTCACCTCGCGACGTACCGCCGAACGGTACTCCAGCAACGACGTCCCCGCTCGAGTCGCTCGTCAACTTTGGCGACAACAGTTTACTTGACGCGACCACGCGCACTGCCGCACGCGCTTCCACCGCCAAACCGGTCAAGTCTGCTGCCGACAAGCGATGTCTGTCCATGCCCACGTCGTCGCTCTTGGACTATTCACGCCACAATCGCACGTGTGGCCACTTGTCCATCCAGCATGGCAACCACCGCGACTACGTGGTGCAGAACCACCTCGTGTGCCAAGACAGCGTGACGCGACTTGGGGTCGTGCAGCGCACGTCTGCGAACGCCGAGGCCAATACTGCCGTTGGCGGGTCGTTGGGCAAGTGCACGTTGCCCCGGGATACCCATCGACCCGGTTGTGGCCATCTGCCCGTGCGGCACAATGACCACATTGACTACGTCGTCGAGGACAACTTGGTGTGCCAGCAGGCGAGTTGGTTCGAGGACGATACGCTGGAGCTGCTGGGGGACGATTTCTGGGACTTTTACGGGGCGATCGACGCCTTCCCGACAAATTGAGGAGAGCGTAAGTGTGGGTATGTGGGGCGGGTGGGTGGGTGGCGCGCTAGCTGTGTGCACCCAAAGGGCGAAACGCTGATTGTATTTTGCTTGCAAACATGTTAGCTGTTGTAAAATGGCGACAGCGACCTCGTCGACCACGTAGTTGTACTCTTCGACCACTTTGTTTCCGTCTTCTAGTTCGGTCCCGTCAAGTGCATACCTTCGCCGCCTGTGGCGTTGTTGCCACGGTATCGAGCGACGCGGTACGACGGGTTGAACGCCCACGACAGCGCGTTCAGCAGGCCCTGCGAGTAAAAGCACAGCTCCGACACGTAGAGGCAAAAGCCCGACGTGACCCACTCTGCGCCAAAGACGTGTAGCCAGCCGAATAGCGTCGGCAGGAAGAAGGCAGCAACGGTCGCGACGCAGCTGGAGAGTAGTTGTCCGCTCGTACGACGTGGACCTTCCGCTTGCGGCGGGAGCGACTGCGCACCGGAGCCAGTGGCCGCAAGGTACACTGCCGCTCCGGCAAATGAGACTGCGGCCGCCGCTGGTACGTAGAACAAGAAGACGCGAGCCCACGTGGGGCTGTGGCCAATATAGCAGGCTCGACAGGGGCCAGCGCCGTCGGGCAGGAAGCCAATCACGCCCGTGAACAACGAGAACGTTCCTGTAAATGCCGCGACGCACCAAATGACAACGTGGTACGCGACCTTGAGCTCCACCGTGCTGGACCGAGTCCAGCGCACTGCACGAATCAGCTCCAGTCCAACTGCAGCGCTGAGGAACAAGGTGGCAGTGCCCAAAAACTGCTGCGTGCTCTTGAGGAGCGCGCAGAAAAACACATGCGCCTGGTGGGCTCGCCAAACGCCGGCAATCCATAGCGTCAGGTTGTAGCCCAGCGTGCAGACAGACAGCCAGAAGAACAACGTGAACGAGTGGAAGCTGCGCAGCACTGGGTACTGCACAAACGACGACACGACAAAGCCCGAGCCGAGGAGCGAGAGGCCCGACAAGAAGAGCACCAGTACAGCGTGCGTGTCCATGTCGTACATGTTGAAGCTGTTCTCGAAGAACGGCGACGATTGCTGCTGCGACGACGGCAGGTCGTTGTCGTTGCGGTGCACGGCAGTGTCTCGTGTGTCAATGCCGCACAGCGTCGAGTTCGCTGGACAGGCAAAGCCCACCTGTTTCTTCTCAACGTCGTACAGCGAGTAGAACTTTTTCATAAACACGTCGCCGAGCACCCACATGTCCTGGCCACTCGGTTGCACAAGCACAATGCACGTGACGCCCACACACAGCGTGTAGTCTGCGCCGTCCAGCACGTAAAAGTGCCGGTTGCCCACGCCAATGCGCAGCGGCGGGAAGTCCTCCGACGCACACAGAAAGCACTGGAAGCCGTACTGCACAAAGCCGCAGTAGCAGCCGCGATTCTGGGCAAACGTCGCGACTTCGTACAGGAAGTTCAAGTACAGCGTTCCGGGGATGCCAATGAGCGACGTGCCCGAGTCGACAAACGCCACGCAGCCCCGTGCGCACGCGTTCTCGTGGTTCCCGACCGTGACGCTGTGGAGCGCGATGCGCCAAAACGTCCATTGGCCAAACTGCGGCAACACGTCTGTCCGTTGCCATGTGGCGTCGAGCGCCTGCATGAGCTCTGCGTCGTAGCCGCCCACGTGCAGCTCCGAGCCGCTCGTGTTCGGGTCGGGGCTCAAGTAGAACGCAAACACCGCGTCGAGCTCGGGGTACTGCGCGAGAAGCGCAAAGAACAGCGGCGGGTGCGAAAACGTCGAGAGGCCGTCGAACGCCAACCCCAAGAGGCCGTCGGCGCGCATCTTCGCCATCGACTCTTCTTCGATCGTGACGATCCCGACGCTCGCGTCGCGCACGCGGAACTGCGCGACGTGCACGACGTCCTGCCCAAAGTGGCCGCTCACTTTGCCGCTGCCGTACTGCACATCGAACGCGCGGCGTCGCCGCGATGTGTCATTGTCCGTAAACGTGCGCGACGCCGTGTGGTCGTAGCGCCGGTCGCCGGCACAGGCGGCGCACGTGATCCCGGGCACCCACAAGTCGCTCGAGCCCGTGTCAAAGCACACCAACAGCTCCTGCGGCGGTGTACCGATCGTCACGGGCCCGTAGAACTGAAACTCCATAAAGTTCTCGAGCGGCACGTGGCCCTGCGCGCGCACGTCGCGGCGCTCGTGGTGCGTGTGCCGCAGCAGCAGCTGCAGCTGCGCTGCGTCTGTATCGTCGGCGCTCGTGCGGTTGCTGTCGTCGTGCGCGAGCGTCGCCAGGCGACTCAACGCGCGGGTAACAGCGTCGTCCGCGTCGAGACGCGGCGGCGTGTGGAACTGCAAGAGGTCGCGGGCGCTGCGCTGCGTGGACGTGGCGGTGAGCGGGACGCGCAGGAGCGCTGTCGCGACGTGCGGCAGGAGGAGCGTGAGCGCCATGAGCAGCAGCAGCTGCCGCCGCACGGCATAAGTGGCCGCGCAAGTGCGTGTGCGCATATTTGGCAGGAGACGTGGCGCGCGCCTTCAGTGCGGAATGCAAGGGAAACGAGAGTGAAGGTCGGCGGGGGTTGAAGGGAAACCCACGGCCGACGAAAAAGCGGGGGAAGCGTTGCGGGGCAACGGGAGGGGCTTTTTGGGCTGATTGCGGGTGGGGTAGGGGTGGCGTTGTGGTGGTGGTGGTTAATGCGGTAAATCAGGTTTCCGTCGGCGTGCCAAAAGGGGATGGAGAAAACAAGGGGGCGATGTGGATTTTTTGTGCGGACAGTGTGAGCGTGACGACGTCCCGTTTGACGTCGTCGTTGTCGTTGCGGGCGTGCCACGCGGTCGGTGGGCTGTGTGATTGGCTGGGAACGTTCCTGCAATGAACGATATCTTTTTGAGCATATCGGTTGGGATACTGGAGGCAAAGGAGCAAAGGACGCGACGCGCGTTCGGTTGGAGTCAATCTGTAAGTTGTACTCTTGGTACGCGTCGTACTTCCCCGTTGAGCCCAGTCGGAGAGTTGAGGCCACCGACCGAGCCGCCCGTCGTTTGTCCTCATCGGCCTAGCACAGTGAGGGGGACGACCGTCAGCATCAGCTATAGTGAGTGCATTGTTGTAGTCATGGTCGTAAGCGCATACGCTGTCCAGCAGCAAACTTGCATTCGCAAAGAGACGTCACCAACTTGTATTGAAGAGGGGCAAGTGCCGAGAATCTACACTTGTGGTGTGTATCGGTTAGAATATGTTGTTTTGGCCCTTTGTTCAATCGAAAACACAAACCTTGTGAGGGATCCGACGAGCGCCAACCCAATGCGCAACGAGCGTGAATTTGATACGGCACATTCGCATTTCGCTCGTTTCACTTAACAACATCTATTACCATAATTGTAGTCTGCTTCGCCAATTGGCAGATTATTATGCGATTAATTTATTAAGACCGCTATGTAGGGCGCATAGCAAATGACGCACTCCGAGCAGAAAATCCAGCACATTGCGCATCGGATGTGCGGAGTAAACAAATGCCTCAGAAGCGCAAACTTCCCACCAATGTAGTGTATGCACGCGGTGTCAATCAAATTAGGACACCCTTTAGTACTCCATCTGCTCACGACCACCTTTGATCACACGTGAGTAGAGCATCGCCATACACTTAGCCATGTGCGGGTGTCAAAATAAAATCTTGCCTTTCGATTGCTCATTCGCCGCGATGAGTTCAATATTTGTCCGTACTGCTACGTACCTTTATGCGTATTCGAATTGCCCGGAGTCCCTTAACACCCTCAGATCAAAGTAATGTCTAAAGGCTTACAAATGTCTCTACCACATCGACTTGTGAGTCACAAGTATTGTTTTGTCGTATTAACGTTTCTAGTCGATGCGTGTTCTGTCCGCAGATCCCACCCATATACGTGCTGTAAGTGCCAAAGCGCAAAAGCATCGCCTAACTTGTCGAGCACTATGTGTTGCTTATTGCTTGCAGTCAAAAGACAGCAGCGTCGCTGATTTCCTGTTGAGAGACGCAACATTTCTATTCCGTCACAGCGTGATATAAGAGATCGACTTCACATAAATAATAAAACGGGGTACAGGACGCTCGTACTGACAAAGCTATCTACACTGACCACAGTGTAGACAGGTGTTGAACGTCACATGACATCCTTCGTTTAAGTTGTGTGGTGCGTCTCAGTGGAAGGGCACCTGCAATAAATTGCTACGAGGGACAGGTTGGACTGTTGAGATACATGCAAAGATCTATGAGAGACTAGAACGACCCTTCGGAAACCTGGAGGAAAGATCTTCAAAAGTAATTATCTACCAGACTAACAACGCTAATATGTATTCGCCTTTCATATCCGGAACTCCATTGCAGATCTGTTTTCTGACAACAAAAGCCTAAGTACCGCACACACACTTGTGTGTGCAAAGGAAGATGAGTTTACGAATCGAACAAGCATAGTAGAAGGGGAAAATTGAGTCAGTATTTGATCTATTGTGAGGACAAGACCGTCTTGTTAAACGTGCATATGGATGAATAGGATCACAACTTAGGAGCTCGTGCACGGTCTTCGACAAGCAACGACAAGCGGCTATTTTCCTGCATGTCATAATGGACAGTGTTCGTTTGCTCTCGCAACTTCGAGCGAGATACCATCCGCGCAAGGCACACTTGGTGCGGCTAATTTCGGGAGTCACAAGCCATATCTTCCGATATCGATGTCTCATGCTGAAGACATCATTTTTGCATTTACAGCAGAATGGCGGATCGATTGGCGAATATCGCTGTGGACACATAAGCTCCTTTTTGAGAGCACGCTTCCTCTGACAAAGGTACTTTCTACAAGGCTAGGACCTTTCTTTACCACGATGTCAACTACTGGCTCAAGACCTCTCAAGCTTAACACCACGTACTACAGTGCCCCGCGCTGCCACCGCGACACCTGGTCATCGTAAAACAAAACCCTGTGCGACGGCGCTCTCTGATAACCGAAGACTAGTATTACCAGGTATATAAAGTAGCAGTCGCCACGGTAACTTTGATGTTAGGCGATAGGATTCAGCGGTCGTACGCGTACCCAAATATACATCACCTTCTCACATACTACGGCATCGGCGTGTACCACAACGGGGTGAGCCCATTGTCGCCGACACAATGAATTGAATCAATGGTTCATATATAAATTGATATGCGCCAATGCTTACTTTACTGAGTGAATATAGAGTAATATTGCCTTTGAGGGTAACATTTGGCACTGCTCCGCCTTTTGGTTGACATAGGCCATTTTATCAACCAACTTTATCACCAATCGCCGCTAGACGCGCGCAATGTATGGTGAGCGAGTAGCCATATACCGTCTTTGTCGTTTTGTAAATAGGTAGATTATGAAAAAAAGGTAAATATTTCAACACTAATATAAAAACAGATATCAATCATCCCCTTCTACTTAGCGTGTTTATTTCTTAGGTTCATCTTCGACAAACATAAATTCAGTTGCGCCTAGATTGCGATGGTGGACCAATAGGGCTTAAACCAGTAGGGCCTGTTGGTCCTCCATCGCAATCTAGGCGCAAATAAATTAATGTATAGGGCTTGCCATAAAATTACAGCTAATACACGATTTATCACATTTCAATTTAGCGATATAGACTGATAGAGTAGGTCGACCTCATCTCGACAGCACGCCGACATATTTTGTCGAAACAAATCGAATAATATATGTGATCGTCATACAAATACCAAATTTCAAGGCACACTGTGTTGCTTATTCCATAAAATTCCGACAAAGTTGGCACCTCTACATTTAATTCCAATGCCACTCTTCAATCTGCAGTGAATAGGTAGGGGAGTATTAACAAAAAAGGTACTCACTGGCGTCAGCCAGCATTTTTCGAACGACGGATACAAAGCCGTCAACAAGCTCCCCCTCCCGATAGGGGAGGGGGACCCAACCTCAGTCGATAGTACCCCTGGAAAGTGATGGTAGTATAGCACTGCCTTCGGCACCAGCCACGGGGGAGCGTAGACCGAGCATCCCGCCGCATCCGACCGGCCGCTTCGGACCAATCGTTGCTCCGGAGGCAGATGAGGACACCGACATTGACTCTCACCTACAGCGTGCCATGTCGACCAGATTTCCGCCACAGGACATGTCAGCTCATGCACGTATCCCGGCTCCTATTGTTTCCTCCGGAGCTTCGCCACCCGCTGGAGCATAGAATCTGTCGTCTGATTCGTTGCGAGCTCCAACACCTAGCCAAGCGACTCATTCGGGAATGTCGGCTTCCAACACCTCGCCTTCTCAGGCGTTCCTCGCGACATGTTTGATGCCCTAGTCGAAGAGGTGAAGGCATCACTCGAGCCGGGGTACGTCGATGTATGGCGTCAGACCGTTCAGGAGCCGTTTGAACGCGTATTTTCGCGGCTTCCGGTGAGTTTGGAAGCTCTTCCGCAAGAGCGGAAACGCTTTCCAAAGCTAAGGGGTCCGGAGTTGGACGGCCTCCTCGATTTCTTTCGGCAGTGTTTTGTTCGGAGTTCCTAAACATATACCGATTTGACGAGACTTGCTACCAAGATAGGCAAAGATATTCTGCTCACCAAGTGGGCCTTTATAGATATTATTCGAAAACTAGCCAGCCAACATAAGTGGGCCACGGCGCCGATCCCGACCTCTGGGTGAGGGTGGTGCGCCAAGGAGCACAGCCAGTCCTGTAAGGGCAGAAGGGGCACGCGTCTATTGCCTATGATGACGTTATGTTCGACCCAGAGAAATATTCCATGGCAGAGGCAACCAAGCTTAAAGACATTTGTACCGCCCGTCTCGGCCCTGCTCGCGCTCATCACTTACGCGAGGGCACAGACGACGAATGACGAGTCATCGTGGGCATAGCTGAAGGACATATTGCGTGTCGTCGGATGCCAGATTTTCTACGATCCGTCTTTGACAGTGGGGAACGTCTTCGGCTCTACAGCACCATCCAGGCGCTGGTCGAAGAACAACTGGTGCTTACTATTGGCAGAGGTCGTTACATCCCGATCAGCTGCCAGACTTCTATTGGTATTACCGCGATGATACTCGAATCCGCATAGCTTCTGCGGGTCATTCTGACGGATCTCGATCGCTTTCTCGGATTAATGAAGTCCATCAGCTATACTCGCTCATCCCGAACGATTCACTTCTACTTTTTCATGAGGGAAACAGCGAAACGTCTGCAGGATGTTCAAATACCCTTTCAGGGACGAGTGTTCCCCTTAGAAAACGCTCATTATCCGGTGCGGGGGTCAGTTTGGCAGAATCAGCGAGGCCCAGATGGTCGTTCGGGCCATTCACGTACTGAGTTCACAATTTTCCTGCACAACGTGACACGATTTAACGAGATTGGACGCATAACGGCTTACTTCAGGTCCAAAATCCTGACGGATTTTGAATCCGAAGATATGAACACTTGCACTACAAACTCCCGGACGTCTACAGTATGAAAAGTTACCTTCTCTCTGGCGGTATGTCCCATGTTTCTT